GCGTGACAATGTAGACGTGACACTGTAGACGTGACACTTGTGACGTGACAGTGGGAAATTTATTAAGCGAGTTTAACCAGAGTGGATGTGAATGTGGGTCGAAAAGGGGGAAGAGGAGTTGAACGCCGGGTAATCTGCTAATTAGCATTTTACCAATTAGAGGCTAAAGAGCGTCAAACTTGTTCCTTATCCGGGGACCAAAAGAAACACCCACACAGGATCGCCACCAACAGCCCAGTTCACATGTAATTCAATGTCCTAATTCTAAGAAACTAATTACCTGGATGCCATCTATCTCATATGTTCCCAGTATATAATGTCCGCACCTACAGTAAGGTGTGACTGGAAAAATAAAAACTTTTTCTAGAAAAATTATTCAACTTTATTATACACTTAAGTTTTATAATATGACGTTTTTACATAAAATGTGTAAGCATGTAAACAAAACGTGTAAGCATTCATACGGAAGTTGTTCCTATATTTGTTCGTAAGTTTAATCGTTTAATTGTTTTTAAGTTGTTTTCTTTTTGTTCGTATATATGTTCCTAAGTTAGTTTTTAAGTGTTTTTAGTTTGTGTGTTTGAATATTTGTTCCTTTGTTTGTTTGTATCCGTGTTAGTAGGTTATTTAGTTATTTGCTTTCTTGTAAATCTGCTGTTGCCTGATGCAAGCTTCAATCTCAATTTAACTGCATGGTTACTACATTTTATTGTTAATAGTCATTCTGTCTCTAAGTATCTCTTAATGAAATACTGTATAGTATTATCCCTTAATATCGCTGTCGACGTTGTCACAAAACGCCTTTGTTGTTTTTCTTAGCAACCCAATTTTTTGCCCTCCCCCCCCCCCCCTACCTAATTGCTGTTGCTACTACCAACCTACATACATCTAAACAAAAACTACCTCTGTTGACAGTCCTGACCAAGAATGTTTAGCTCGAGCCTAGCAACGCGTTTCTTGATGTTACCCTGACCTAAGTTTTTATAAAACCGCATGGCACTTGGCTACAGTTTTTTTTTTTTCAACGCTAATCCGTCTTATTATTTTTTTAAAAAAAACGTCCTTCGTCTTTCGTCGGCCGTTGTTCAAATTTAAAGGTCAGCTTAACCCGACATTTCCCCCAAACGGACCGGTTGACCCCGTGACCTTTTACCCTGGGTGTTATTTATGTACCTATATATCGATCTCACTAAATACAGATAATATTGATTGCGAATTTCGAGACGTGGTACGCTAGTGAACTCCCCGCCCCGTATACGATAAGGGGTTATGCATTACGTTTGTACGATGACGCAACTTAAAGGTTGGGGTAGGGGGGGAGTCTAGTTTGTGACGTCACGCCGATAAACCTTATCGATTTGGTCGCAATCGAAGACCAGGGCTGATTTGAAATTAATGGTGACGCCGTCAATCAAGTCAGTGGTCGTAAATTAAGCTGTAATTAATAGGAATCGCCGTGTGACGTCATTGAGTCACTGACTTGGCCAATGATGGTAATGATCTGACAATTGAGGACAATGAATATCCAGTTTGTATTTTAGTGCCAGATCTTTAGTTCCCAGATCCTTAGTTCCCAGATCACTAGTTCCAACATCATCAAGTCCAAGATCATTAGTTCCCAGATCATTAGTTCCCATATTATAAGTTCCAATTTCATTAGTTCCCAGATTATTAGTTCCCAGATCATTAGTTCCTAGATCTTTAGTTCCCAGATCATTAGTTCCCAGATCATTAGTTTCCATATTATAAGTTCCCATATTATTAGTTTCCATATTATTAGCTCCCATATTATTAGTTCCAATTGCATTAGTTCCCAGATTATTAGTTCCCAGATCATTAGTTCCTAGATCTTTAGTTTCCAATCTTTAGTTCCCAGATCATTAGTTCCCAGATCATTAGTTCCCAGACCATTCGTTTCCAGATCATTAGTTCCCAATCTTTAGTTCCCAGATCATTAGTTCCCAGATCATTAGTTCCTAGATCATTAACTCCCAGATCATTAGTTCCCAATCATTAGTCCCAAGATCATTAGTGTCCAGATCATGAGTTCCCAGATAATGAGTTCCCAGAGCATTAGTTCCCAGATCATTAGTTCCCAGATCATTAGTTCCCAGACCATTCGTTTCCAGATCATTAGTTCCCAATCTTTAGTTCCCAGATCATTAGTTCCCAGATCATTAGTTCCTAGATCATTAACTCCCAGATTATTAGTTCCCAATCATTAGTCCCAAGATCATTAGTGTCCAGATCATGAGTTCCCAGATAATGAGTTCCCAGAGCATTAGTTCCCAGATCATTAGTTCCCATATCATTAGTTCTCAGATCATTAGTTCTTAGATTATTAGTTCCCAGATTATTAGTTCCCAGATCATTAGTTCCCAGATCATTAGTTCTCAGAACATTAGTTCCCAGATCATTAGTTTCCAGATCATTAGTTTCCAGATCATTAGTTCCCACATTATTAGTTCTCAGATCATTAGTTTCCAGATCATTAGTTCCCAGATCATTAATTCCCTGATCATTAGTTCCCAGATCATTAGTTTCCAGATCATTATTTCCCAGATCATTAGTTCCCAGATCATTAGTTCCCTGATCATTAGTTCCCAGGTCATTAGTTCCCAAATCATTAGTTCCCATGTCATTAGTTCCCAAATCATTAGTTCCCAGGTCATTAGTTCCCAAATCATTAGTTCCCAGGTCATTAGTTCCCAGGTCATTAGTTCCCAAATCAAATCATTAGTTCCCAGGTCATTAGTTCCCAAATCATTAGTTCCCAAATCATTAGTTCCCAAATCATTAGTTCCCAGGTCATTAGTTCCCAAATCATTAGTTCCCAAATCATTAGTTCCCAGATCATTAGTTCCCAAATCATTAGTTCCCAGGTCATTAGTTCCAAAATCATTAGTTCCCAAATCATTAGTTCCCAGGTCATTAGTTCCCAGATTGGCTGAAACCGGTAGCCAGATAAAGATGTGTACGGAAACAACACGGCATAATTTGATACTAAACGCATGTGTGTATACGTGTAGTCAGCAAGAATTTTTTTATTTCTTTAATTTAGAAAGATATGTAACACTAGACTTATCTTTTAATCCTCACTAAAAAACATAATATCTAAGGCGAAACACTATCGTTTCTTTCCTCTATCTGAAAAAGTAGGCCTACTATTTTTAACCTGGTGAAGTAGAGTTCACTTATTCACTTATTATAAACCAACAGTCCATACAAGGGAGTGCAACAATTTGTTTAATAACAACAGTGACATAGGCAGTTGAAGGGATAATGTGGTCAGCACTATGCCCAGCCGCCTTTACTTTCCTAAACGAGAGTTAGCTACCCATCACAGCTGGGTGGACTCCTACGGACACGAACCCGGGTTCGAACTCGAGACGGTCGGGTTAGTAGTCGTATGTGCTACCTATCGACCATGCATTCACTTCCCTCCATTTGAGCATCATGTATACAAACGGCGGTCAGAGGACCACCACTGTCGATTAACACACAGCGATCAGATGCTATTAGCTCACGTTTGTCTAAATTAACCACAAAACGATATTTCAATATGTTTGTATTTTAAGTATAGAAATAGTTTATTCTTGAGATTTGTTTGTTCTTGTGATCGTTTGTTACACTATTTCCATAAACACAGTAGTCAGGAGTTCAAGCGGGATAATTGGCAGGAACGATCACTCTTTTATTCATCAAATGAAGACGGGAAATCACTATTTTATGAAATACGATGGAGTAGTTAAATTATCGTGTATTTCGAACAGAGGCGTAGCGACCCTTCCCGGCGCCCGGGGACTAACTCTCAATTTGGCGCCCCCTCGGGAACAACCTTTCAATTTTCAATTCGCACCCCCCCCCCTCAAACTTTCCATTTGCTACCCCCCCCCCCCCCCCCCCCCCCCTCATATATATTTTCTATTTATAATGCAAAACTGCAGCTAAAATGAGATTTTAATTTGTTTTTCCAACCCATTTTGGCGACCCCTAGGATCGGCGCACGGGGACATATATACCCCCCCCCCTCGTTACGCCTCTGATTACGGATTGGATAAAGAACTTACAAATATACAACCCTAACTGGATTAAGTCTGAACACCTCCGTCGGTTAAGAGATCTAATCTTTCTTAAAGCTTGATTATGAATCAATTATCGATTGTGTTATTTTAATTGTTTTCCTTAATTATATCAGTTTCATATTTCAAAGTGACTTCGGATTAGCACCCCTCCCCCCCTTACCCCTCGAAATAAATTGTGTGGGGATGTGTGTGTGGTGGGGGGGGGGGGGTGGGACTTAAATTACCGCTGTCTAAGCATCGAAATTATGAATTCCGAGACGGATGTCTCTTTATGAACTTTTCTCCAAGTGCTTAGTTACGTACGGAAATAAATATAATACACATTTTAACCCCTCTTTATTTACTTTTGCTAATAGATTTTACACCTGAAAGCCTCCACCCACGCCCACACACTGGGGCGTGAACCAACGCCCCCAACACCTGTCTACATTCTACCAGCCTTTATCTTTTGTATCACTTTTAAAAAGATTTTTTTTTTCGTTAATTATATCACCTTATTTTTAACTTTTATTTTATTTACAAAGCACAGCGCGAATAAATATGTCAGCACTTCACAATTTTTTTTAACACCGAGATATAAAAGATCAAAGCCAACTCAAAACTGCACTGTTAACAAGGAGTGTTAAAAAAAACCGGGGTACAAATATATCGTAACACCGGAAGACTGTTCAACATTGTCAGAGTTTGATAACACTGTGTAGACTAAGCGATCACAAGTGACTTTAAAGTGGTGTTTCAGGACTTAAAATTACACGCATCTGTTTATTTCGGAGTTATCTGCTCATAGATAAAACAACAGTCCGTACAAAGGAGTGTATCAATTTGTTTGTTTAATAACAGGTGTCTATATTTAAAATCACGTGTGATTGGGAAAAATAACTTAAACTCGTGACAGTTAATTTGATAAAAGTTTTGTTTAAATGTTAGTTGTTTTAATTAAATTATTGATCTGATTTTCAAAATAGTTTCTGGCATTTTATTCGGTGATGTGTGTTAAGGCCTGTTGGGTTATTTATTGCGTGTGCTGCTAAACATTGACAGTCGTTTGGTGAAACGTGTGTCGTCTGCTTGTTGAAAGTAAGTTGGATTTCTCGATTTTTTTATCGGACATAGTCTAGATCTGTTAGAAAAACATTTCTTGCGGTGTAGAAGATCTTTACACTTTGTTTTAATGATAGATTCTAGATGTCCGTAGGCTATGATGTCGCAGCTTCTAGGTAACGAAGAGCTGTTTGGCGGAATGAAACGGAACGATGATGGCTCTGTCAGGAGTAGGATTAGAGTAATGTAAAGGAGGAGCGGGGGAGGGGGTTCTATAAATGGCGTCACGTTTTTGGACGATTTTACACCCCCTCCCCATCGTCACATATAGTCAAATAAAACAGCCCCCCCCCCCTCTAAAATGACGTCACACCTCAGCCTATCCCCCTCCCATCAAAATTGCAGTTTAATTATATTATTTTTAATGTTGACTAAACTCGGTCATCTTAGAGTGTATTAATCAATTACTAGATCTAGATCTAACACCATTTATAAATCAGCTTTCAAAAGCGCGAAATGACGTATAAAATTCAGCTAAGAGCATTACTTTTTAAATGTAACACTGTGACGTCTCTGTTTCTGAACACCCCCCCCCCACCCCCATTTCACACATCGTCACCAAATTCCTAACCTTCCTCAACCGACCGACCCCTTATAAAGTTTGACTATCTTCACCGTGACCCGATTAAAGTATTAACATCGGCTAGTACAGGATCGACTGTAGAGTACAAATTTTAAAAGGCGTCATTTATGTGTGTGTTGTTTTCCTTGATTGAACTCTGTGAGGCACTTAAAACAACAGACAGAAGAGGGAGAACCACTCAACCATGTTAAAAGATTAAAAATAAAACCCTTGCCGGAAAATTTGTAAACCCTCACTTAACTGTTCGAGATTGGGTTTTACGATAGACTTAACGAAACAAATAATGTAATTTAAAAGTATGAATGTAATATACGTGTAACTTCCGGTTATATTGTAACCAGTGTTTCTTCCTGACTTTTTTCTCGGGGGGGGGGGGGGGGGGGGGGGGGGCTACATATTCTGGGGGGGGGACGACACTGGTGAAAATAAATGTTTTCTATATATATTCCATTTCGTTTGGTTGGACAAAGGCTATGGAAGCAAATCAAAAAAGAAAAGCAGGCTGAAATCGGAGTCATTAGCCTCAATGGCGCATAACCAGTTGACACGTATACTTAATTGTACTGGAGGGGATCCTGTTCCAACACTAAAATTAAGAACGAAGAAGAAGAACTTTATATCAAAGTCTAATTTGTTGTTTAAATTTGTTTCGTTTTATTCTAGGTTTGACAACATGACTATGTGGATACTAGCAACGAGTGGATAAAGACATGTGTGGATTTAACACAGACTGGATACGAAGTTGTCAAACAACAGGATATAATCTATTCAATTCCAGTTAGAAACTTCAAGAAATTGTCCAGAGCTAGTAAATACTGATTTTATGCAAGGAACTGTCAAGTCAAAGTCTTTATACACGATTGAGAATAATTGTAATATTTGTGTTGTTGTTTTAAAAAAAAAATTGGAATAATTCAAGGCAGAAATTTGGAAAATAAGTTGTCTCGTTCATGGACCAAGAAGACATAGGTAGGTTGCTCTACGTTGTTGTGGTGTTGTTGTTTTTTTTCGTTTCAATGGATAAAACAACAGAATAAGTTAAGTCCTACTAACAACTAGATGTAGTTGTTATTAACTGAATGAATGGGTGGGCGTATTGATGATACAAGTTTAGCAATAGGATTAGCCTAAACCCATTTCTTGAACCCAACCACCCCCCCAGTGTTTCTCTCAGACAACCATTCGGGAGGACCGCCACCCCCTCCACCAAGCATGTCTACAGCCTTTAAACCCCACCCCCCACCCCCCTCCTCGCCCCCAGAACGAAATACAATTTTATATAGAAAATATATACTTTTACCAGTGTCCGCCCCCCCTCCCCAAAAAAAGGTTTCAAGTGCCCCCCCCCCCCCATTCCTTCCGCGGAGAAAAAAAGTCTGAAAGATACACTTCCCCTCCTTATTACCCATTCTTTGAAGAGTGACAAGTAAGCATAATTCACACTCGGAACCATCGTTGACCAAACCACTCTGTGAATATATCGGTAAGAACCATCGAATCGAATTCGTACTGAGATAATAATAAAATAAAATAAAAACAAGTAGATCTATATCTATAACAAGCTTTACATAGCTTTGCAAAAATTAGAACTCGTCACACCAAAAATTTATTTTGTCTTTATAATACCCCCCCCCCCCCCCAAGTCGTTCAGTTTCAGTTCGGTGTTTATCTCACCTTTGCTCAGATGCTGTGTGCTCTAAATATGATATTTGAACATATAGACTAGATCTCTATAATAAACTGCATTGATGCGGCGGGTCTAGTCTCGTTCTAATTTTAGCAACCAAATGTCAGCCCCGAGGCAAACTTTCTAAAACGGGAACACCCACATTTATTTCAAGACTATTTGAGCTATTTAGGGGTGGGGCGAGGGGAGGTTGTTATGATTGATATATAGACTGATAAGATCAAGCGAGGTGTTTGAGATTTTTTTCTCAAGGTCTGCGTGACCTAACTTTGGTGTAAATAACTTTTGATATGGGTCGATGTTCAGCTTCGATAATATTATAAATCTACACCAAAAAAAAAAAAAATAATAATAATAATTGACAGAACTTTAATTTAAAATTTAGAAATATGAAAACACGTTTCGGTATTTAGACTTCGTCAAATGAACGATAGGTTAAAAAAAAAATAAGTTGAATAGAAACTTACCAAAGGGAAAATATTATGTGTGGTCGTTTTTTAATGTTTTAAAATACATGATTAATCTGCTCTATGCTTATACAACATCGTCTTCAACAATGTGTATTTTATTCTTTTCTGTCTAAATCGAATGATCAGTTTCGAATAGCCGATCAGTAAAAGATGGGCATTGGTTTGATGCTGTCTTGTATTTTAACAGCGTTGTGAACTAGAAAACGGCATTCGGAAAAGCGGCACTTAATGGTGTCACCCCCCCCCCCCCCCCAGAGGTATAGCGACCCTTCCCGGGGACAAACTTTCAATTATCGATTTGCACCCCCCACCCCCGTCAAACTTCGATTTCTACCCCTCCCCCCCCCCCACATCAAATAATTTTTCTCTATATATTTTGCTATTTTATGCCTTGGTGTCACCCCCCCCCCCCCAAATGGTGTCACCCGGTGCGGTACGCACCCCCCCCCCCCTCGCCACGCCTCTGCGGGAAAGTGTCTTTCGTGAAAACGTCCGGCCCCATTGTAATATCATAGTATACCAAGGGAAACAATCATGAGCTATATTCTTAAAAGTGGTTAAAAATAAAGATAAAATTCTGTACTAAAAGAAACAGTTATTTTTTTTATTATATAATTAAGTAAGGCTTTAACATTATTTTAAATTAGCTGTATAATTTTATATTTATTAGATTTGGAATTGTAATTTAACTGTATTTCAAAAACAAAACTGTTAGCTATATTAAATTTGTTATATATAAAGAAAAAATTATTTCTTTCATAAACGTTCATCACAGAAAATGTCTATAACAACTATTTTTTACCTACATTGAAGACCAATATCAAATTATTAGATTTGCGAAGCTACTTTAATACTAAAGGGCAACTGTGTGTCCATTGAAAAATTAACACGCCGCATCCATTTTGCACATCCCAGGTGAACATTTAGCTTAATAAGCTAAATCTATAATTATACCTCTTGATGGTTTATTTTCTTTTAAAATGTGTTGTATAGGGATGTATATAACATGTATGTTTTTTAGTTCAATGTTAAAAAGCTTAAAGTTGTTGTGTTTATGACCTTTAAAATGTTGAAATTGTAAAACATAAAGCAACACCTGATTTCTTTAATACAGCCTAATTCCCTAACACCCCCCCCCCCACCTCCCATGCCACTGCCGGGGAAGGAAGGGAAAAGGGGGAGGGGGGGGGGGTAATTCGATTCGACGTGTTTTCAAAAATAATATGAATAGTTTTCTCTATTGACTTGAAATTTGATCCACATTACACAACACATGTAGCACAATGTCCTTCCCTGTGGCCTGTAGCACAATATGTCCTTCCCTGTGGCCTGTAGCACTATATGTCCTGTAGCCTGTAGCACAATATGTCCTTCCCTGTGGCCTGTAGCACAATATGTCCTTCCCTGTAGCACAATATGTCCTTCCCTGTGGCCTGTAGCACAATATGTCCTTACCTGTAGCACAATGTCCTTCCCTGTGGCCTGTAGCACAATATGTCCTGTGGCCTGTAGCACAATATGTCCTTCCCTGTGGCCTGTAGCACAATATGTCCTGTGGCCTGTAGCACAATATGTCCTTCCCTGTAGCATAATGTCCTTCCCTGTGGCCTGTAGCATAATATGTCCTTCCCTGTAGCATAATGTCCTTCCCTGTGGCCTGTAGCACAATATGTCCTGTGGCCTGTAGCATAATATGTCCTTCCCTGTAGCATAATGTCCTTCCCTGTGGCCTGTAGAACAATATGTCCTTCCCTGTGGCCTGTAGCACAATATGTTCTTCCCTGTAGCACAATGTCCTTCCCTGTGGCCTGTAGCTTAATATGTCCTTCCCTGTGGCCTGTAGCACAATGTGTCCTTCCCTGTGGGCTGTAGCATAATATGTCCTTCCCTGTGGCCTGTAGCACAATGTCCTTCACTGTGGCCTGTAGCACAATATGTCCTTTGGCCTGTAGCACCATGTGTCCTTCCCTGTGGCCTGTAGCACAATATGTCCTTCCCTGTGGCCTGTAGCACAATGTCCTTCCCTGTGGCACAATATGTCCTTCCCTGTGGCCTGTAGCACAATATGTCCTTACCTGTAGCACAATGTCCTTCCCTGTGGCCTGTAGCACAATGTCATTCCCTGTGGCCTGTAGCACAATATGTCCTGTGGCCTGTAGCACAATATGTCCTTCCCTGTGGCCTGTAGCACAATATGTCCTGTGGCCTGTAGCACAATATGTCCTTCCCTGTAGCATAATGTCCTTCCCTGTGGCCTGTAGCATAATATGTCCTTCCCTGTAGCATAATGTCCTTCCCTGTGGCCTGTAGCACAATATGTCCTGTGGCCTGTAGCATAATATGTCCTTCCCTGTAGCATAATGTCCTTCCCTGTGGCCTGTAGAACAATATGTCCTTCCCTGTGGCCTGTAGCACAATATGTTCTTCCCTGTAGCACAATGTCCTTCCCTGTGGCCTGTAGCTTAATATGTCCTTCCCTGTGGCCTGTAGCACAATATGTCCTTCCCTGTGGGCTGTAGCACAATATGTCCTTCCCTGTGGCCTGTAGCACAATATGTCCTGTGGCCTGTAGCACAATATGTCCTTCCCTGTGGCCTGTAGCATAATATGTCCTTTCCTTTAGCCTGTAGCACAATATGTCCTTCCCTGTGGCCTGTAGCACAATATGTCCTTCCCTGTGGCCTGTAGCACAATATGTCCTTCCCTGTGGCCTGTAGCACAATGTGTCCTTCCCTGTGGGCTGTAGCATAATATGTCCTTCCCTGTGGCCTGTAGCACAATGTCCTTCACTGTGGCCTGTAGCACAATATGTCCTTTGGCCTGTAGCACCATGTGTCCTTCCCTGTGGCCTGTAGCACAATATGTCCTTCCCTGTGGCCTGTAGCACAATGTCCTTCCCTGTGGCCTGTAGCACAATATGTCCTTCACTGTGGCCTGTAGCACAATATGTCCTTCCCTGTGGCCTGTAGCACAATATGTCCTTCCCTGTGGCCTGTAGCACAATGTCCTGTGGCCTGTAGCACAATGTCCTTTCCTGTGGCCTGTAGCACAATGTCCTTCCTTGTGGCCTGTAGCACAATATGTCCTTCCCTGTGGCCTGTAGCACAATATGTCCTTCCCTGTAGCACAATATGTCCTTCCCTGTGGCCTGTAGCACAATATGTCCTTCCCTGTGGCCTGTAGCACAATATGTCATTCCCTATGGCCTATAGTACAATATGTCCTTCCCTGTAGCACAATATGTCCTTTCCTGTGGCCTGTAGCACAATATGTCATTCCCTGTGGCCTGTAGCACAATATGTCCTACCCTGTGGCCTGTAACACAATGTCCTTCCCTGTGGCCTGTAGCACAATGTCCTTCCCTGTGGCCTGTAGCATAATATGTCCTTTCCTGTGGCCTGTAGTACAATATGTCCTTCCCTGTGGCCTGTAGCACAATATGTCCTTCCCTGTGGCCTGTAGCACAATGTCCTTCCCTGTGGCCTGTAGCACAATGTCCTTCCCTGTGGCCTGTAGCATAATATGTCCTTTCCTGTGGCCTGTAGCACAATATGTCCTTCCCTGTGGCCTGTAGCACAATATGTCATTCCCTATGGCCTATAGCACAATATGTCCTTCCCTGTAGCACAATATGTCCTTCCCTGTGGCCTGTAGCATAATATGTCCTTTCCTGTGGCCTGTAGCACAATATGTCCTTCCCTGTGGCCTGTAGCACAATATGTCATTCCCTATGGCCTATAGCACAATATGTCCTTCCCTGTAGCACAATATGTCCTTCCCTGTGGCCTGTAGCATAATATGTCCTTCCCTGT